CGCCTTAAAAGTAGGGGGGGGGGGGGGGGGGGAGATCGGAGGTCTGGTGAGGGAGGGAGGAAGGCCAGGATGACTCTCAGCCGGGATTGCCAACTGCCAACAAATTGCTGGACATTTTTTTTTTGGGGGGGGGAGATTCTGGGAAATGCCCGGTTTGGGGCCGGGGAGGGACCTGAGATGGGAACTGGGGCCATAGAGTCCTCCCTCCGGTGGAGCCCTTTTTCTGCAGGGGAACCGATCTCTGTCCGCTGGGAGGAGGTTGTAATTCTGGGGAAACTTCAGGCCCCACCTGGAGGTTGGCAACCCTTTTAGCCCCCAGTTTTGTTCCACTGTGTAAGGAAGGGAAAGCAGGGCCAGAGAGAGGAGCTCCGAAGAAGGACACGTTCCCATCCCTCAGGCTCAGTTTGTATACTTTGCACCCAGAACCCAAGTGGGGAGCGAAGCCCACCCCAGGCAGGCTGGCCGAGTACTGGCCCTCCAGCCCCCAAGAAGGGTCTGTGGAAGTGATGGCCCCCCTCCTCCAGGGCATCTGGAAGGTTGGAGGCAGCCTCCTCTTCCTCCTGCCCCCCCCCCACCTTGGACAAATGAAGTGATCCTCACTACAGCCCTGTAAGGTGGATGAGGCTGAGAGAGTGAGAAAGTGAATGGCACATGGTCACATGGTGGGGTTAAATGCTAGAAGGAACTTTGAACTATGAGAGTAGTTAGAAATAAGTTGTGAAATGTTCTTCATTAAAAGAAGTTTTCAAGAGAATGCTACACAAGTCATAAGTATTCAAGGCAGGATATTGGGCTAGATGACCCATAGTTCATTCTATTTTTGCAGGATGGCTAGGTTTTGGGTTTTTTAAAAGCCTCTTCTGGCAATCATAGGATCACAGATTTCAGGCAGAGGGCCCTCAATACTGGTGAAGGTTACCAAAGTGATTATAGAAAAACTGTTCCTAGGCTAGAGTACCACATTTTGTCTGAATGTCACTATGCTTTTTTCACAGCTATGTGACTAAGTTTTAATCACAAAGCTACACTTGCTGTAGAAGACTATGACAGTTCCCTTACATGTAGGAAAACATCCATGTAAGAGCAAACTACATGGTACATACACAGTCACATGTAACTTTCAGCAAGTATTTAAAAATATATAAAATATATTAAAATATATTAAAAAGCCTGCTTGCGGGGAGGGTGGGGAAAGAAAGAAAGAAAGAAAGAGAGAGAGAGAGAGAGAGAGAGAGAGAGAGAGAGAGAGAGAGAGAGAGAGAGAGAGAGAAACAGAAGGAGACAAAAGAAGGAAGAAAGAAGGCTTCAAAAGTAGGAGTGGAAGAAAAGTAGGGTAGAAAGGTGATATTCCAACTGATTATTTTTACAAGCAAAATCTCTCAGCTACTTTCCCTCCACTCAGGGAAACAAGTAGTTGTCCAAATTGTATCCCACAGAAAAACAGCAGGGTGGTGGAGAGTTATGAGCAAAAACAAGACCAGCAGGGAAAGGGTTATGCAGCTGCCTCCTCCGCCTCCTCTCCCTCCTGCACTCAAGTTTGCAGCCTTCCACACCTGTATTTCATTTAAAAAATAATAGGGGAATTATATGTGAAGTATAACATATGGTTTAGTTTTAATATCATATAACCTACGAGATATTTAAGGAACTGAAAAATGAAATATGCAAATTCCTCTTTACATTGACATATATATTGTTGGGAATGTACAGTGCCAGTTACAGCTATGAAGTAAGCTCATTGGGAAAATGAATGCTTTGTAACTGTACAGTTGGCTGTATAGACTCTAAGTTTTACTGCAAACGTACTATAGAAAAGTCAAAGATAATCTTTAAAAACCTAGCTATATTTTGTGCCAGTTGATCTTTGCAGTGGCAAACTACTCAGTCATATTTTTATTCAACAACACTTTACAGCTCTTGCAAAGCATGCAGGGAACTATGTCAAGCCAATCACATGAGAACATTTGTTAGGAAATTTTTGGCACAGATAAAATGAACAATTTTGGCTTCTGTACCACATTTAATTTTCCAATAATAAATATTAAAAAGCCATAGACAATCAATTTATTATAGATGCTCATCCCATGCATTTTGAGGCACTACTCTTTGTCAAGGGTAAAAAGGTAAAGGTAGAGGTTTCCCTTGCTCAAAAGCTAGTCGAATCCGACTCTAGGGAGTGGTGCTCAACTCTGTTCCCAAGCCAAAGAGCCAGTGCTGTCCAAAGACGTTTCCGTGGTCATGTGGCTGGCATGACTAAATGCTGAGGCACACGGAACGCTGTTACCTTCCCACCGAAGTGGTACCTATTTATCTACTTGCAATTTCTACTTGCTGTTTCTTGCTTTCGAACTGCTAGGTTGGCAGGAGCTGGGACCACAGATGGGAGCTCACTCCGTCACATGGCACTAGGGTCTCGAACTGCTGAATTACAGACCTTCTGGTCTGCAGCTCAGCGTCTTAACCTCTGAGCCACTGCAGCCTCCTTGTCAAGGGTACTCTTTTCACAAATTCTTCTCTTCTGCTTTTTGGTAAAGACAGAAAGCAAAAAGAATACTTGTCTTGTGTTTGCAATGTATAAATATCTCTAAATTATCTTGGAATTATATGTAATGTGTTTTATAGCAGCTGTTTGTACGTTTGGCTTAAGACCTCTGGTCAATGAAGCTAATAAATGAAAGGAATGTATAAATATCCCTGGTGAAAAGCAAAGCTTTGAAACAGATTGGGCGAATTTCTGTAATCAACAGGGAATTGGTAACTTTCTGTATACTCCATTCTTCAGTCATCAATAGACTATGGCACGATCTTAAAAAAACTTTTTATACTAGAACAAATACAGAGTTGAATATATATTAATAATCAGAAACATACTTGCATATAAATCATTAGGTTGAATTATTGGCTGCCAAGTATGATTCCATATTTGTAGCTTACAAGATCTTCTGAAAATATTTGACTTCAAATGTCTCATACAAACTATAGGTTATGGTTATGCTGGCTCGATGCCATAATAAATACATCTATCTATCCATCTATCTATGTTTCATTATTTTCTTTAATTTTAATCATCATCCTTTTATTTTGAGTCCAGTGGCACCTTTAAGACCAACGAAGTTTAACTCTGGGCATAAGCTTTTGTGCTCATGCACCTTTCTTAGTGTACATGCACTCAAAAGCTTATGCCCAGAATTAAACTTTGTTGGTCTTTAAGATGCCACTGGACCCAGACTTTGTCCTGTTGGCTCGGACCAACACGGCTACCCACCTGAATCTATCCTTTTGTTTCATAAGTTCTGAACACTACTTTCAATATGTACTAGCAGCAAATAACAGAAATAAAACTAAATAGGGTTGTTGTTCTGGTATACTTCATGCAGTTTCAAGATATTATGGATGGATTAGATTTAAACAACCATGACTGTAATGAGTTCAAGGAACAGCTCTCTCCCCCCTTTCTCTTCCTGTAGTCCCCCGCACCCCTACATTACTCCTCTTCCTTGAGAATGTAACTGACATGGGGGGGGGGAGGCTACAACTCAAAGAGAAACATGAACAGTAGTTTGCTGGTTTGAATATAATGGCAAACTGTTTGCTGCAAAAACAGAATTAATGATCTCTCTGTGTGCAAGGAAAGGAAGGAGGAAGGTTTGCTCAAGCAAGCCTGAACACCTCCAAGGCTAAGTCATGTAACAACAAACTACACCACAATCTTAACCAAATTGAGGAAGTCAGTCCCACTGATGTCAGTGGGACACTTACAAGCATGTATGTTTGGGGCTACAGATATATACCTTGATTCAAGAAGTTTCTATATCAGAAAAGGTGGGAAAGAAAGAAAATACTACTTCATAAGAGCCCTCATCAACCCCAAGGTGAGAGCAAATACTGCAAGCGAAGGGTAGACGCTGATTTTTCCTATTAATTCTTACTTTTTAACTACTTAGCTATATCTTTCAACTAGTGTAGTAACAAATTATACAGTACATGAATACACAGTATGATTAATAGTAGTAGTTTCCTTTTACCTGCAAAGAAAACAGTTTCACAGGAAGTTCTACTTAGTTGTATTTTAGTTTACAAGGCATGTGGCTTCTAGCTTACCTTGATGAATGTACTTGAGCTCTAAATTTCTACCAACTCTCCCCCCAGAATTCTCAAATTGTTTCTCTGAGTAGCATCCATATATCTCCTCCAAGGCTTGTTCTCAAAGGAGAAAATGAGAAGCTTCTTGTACACTTCTCACCTTTTTAAAAAAAATCATCCTGTCTCCTCAATAATAAACTTGCAAATTTCAAAATATGCAGGTGCACATTTTCAGCACTTTGTTTCTACCTGAAAGTTCCACAACCTTTAAATGCGACAGCAAATATTTGGTATTTCAAATGCTTAACTACAGTATCTTAAAAAGTTCAATCTGCATTTCAGATAGACTATAACGTGTAATTCAGAAGATGTGAAAAGATATTTTATGGTCAGATTTTGACAAACATATTCCTGAATGCCAGCTAAAACAGATAATGAAGAGCCCAAGATAGTTTAGGGTTGGAAATAATTAAAATTTTACCTTTGCCAAGTAATTCCCAATGTATCCTCATTGGCACTGGGGTATAAATGCCTGCCGTTTTGATTCATGGTCCAGTCACAAATCCTCAGCTGTCAATTGAAACCTAGCAGTCAGATATGGATCGAGCAGTACTACAGTTTTTAGTATTTAAATGAATGCATGCAAGCTAGCACTTTACATGGCACAAACCTTACATCCCCAAGTAGTAGTAGTCTAAAAATAATAAAAAAAACATTTTTAAAAATAAAACCTTAATAGTGCAAAATGAGATCTCTACTTTTTCCTCACATTAAGAAAATACTATTTGGATGTGCTTCTCTATTAATAAAGCATAATAAAGTAACTTGTATCTAGCACTTAATTATTAGCCATTAATTAATTATAAACTGAGCTGGAAAAAAAGCAAATGTTAATGTTCAATAGTGAATTTTTAAAAAGAAAGTAAAAACACTTCAAAATTATTCAATGTACTTAAAAAGGATTTTAAAAAATCAGTATCTGGAAAGCATGCATTTGGTGATACACAGAAGACATGCAATTTATAGGAAAGAAGATCTGAAATTACACAAAGACCTTATCTTACTGTTCTACAAGGATGGAGACATTTGTAATAGAGGTTTATTAATTGTGTTAACTGAATATGGCATCACTGAACATGCAGTGGTAAAATAATTTCATCTTCTTCTATACTCATTTAAAAGACTTTAAATATAGTGAGGAATGCATTAAATGTAAACTGAAACAAAACCTTCCCACATCACCAAATCATCAGTTCTGCTCTTCACAAATTATTCCTGTAACCCTATACAGCTGTTTGTCTAGCAGCTGCCCTACAGTGCAAGCAGATTTCCTGCAAAGATACAGTGATTATTTTTATGTTTGAGAAAATAAGCCTCCTCTAGCCTTTGGAAGAAAACATTGAAAAAAAAATGTTCTGCACACCTATGCTATCTATAAATGACTCTAGCATACATCACATTGGATGTTAAAAGATAATGATAAATGTTTCTTTTCCCCAAGAAAAGTTTAAAGTGCCTTTAAAAGATGCAGATTAGAGCAAAAGAAATGACATCCACAGCAGCTCAATTTATTACAGTCCCTTCCTGAAAAACACATATGATGAGAAAAAGACAATATCCCTGGCTTGACCCTCTATGACTACTACATTCTTGAGGCTTCAGAAATGGAAACATGGACCTTCCATGACTTTTTTCCTTATTTGCTTCTGAAGAACTCAGTGAGACCTTTAAAAAAACGATTAGGAATATGAGATTAACCAGAAAAAGAATACTCCATCTCAAAACAGCTCCTTAAAAACTGCAGCATGGAGCAGAGTGGACGTGTATCATAAAACTTTCACAGGCGGTATTTTTTAGTGTGAAAATAATAAAACACAGCTGTAATCCAAAAGAAATGCTGTTGGTGCATGTATGCTATTTTCCCAGTTTCCCATTTCAGAAACTTCTGCTACTCCTATCCTTTGGGCAATTTAAAGAACAGTGTAGGGAAGTTGTGGACAAACCAAAGCAAAAAAAGAGAGAGGGGGAGAGAGAGACTCTTTTTGGAGACTGCCTGCGGTGGCCAACGCCCTTTACAAAAAAAGTCCTGCCCCTTTAGCAGAAGCAAAATGGGATGCTGTTTATCAGGTGATGTTAATGCTTCAGCTGGCCATTTTCACATATTAAGCCTGTATTAAACGAACATAACTTTTTTTGTCAAACTGCTGGCAGCCTTAATAGTGCCTTAAACCTGGTCAGTTACTGAAGCTTTGCTAAATGCCTCCATAACAGTTAAGATTTTTTTGCCATTTTCATTACCAAATGACTTCATAAGGATTTAGGTCTCAACAACTAAATCTACTCTTAGGTTCAATTCTGCCATTATACAAAACCATGGTGATATTTGATGAGCAAAACCATGGTTAAAGATTAGCTTCCAAACCAGAAACAGAAACCACAGTTTGATGTCTGGATCTGACAAACCACGGATAGACTGATGCTCTGTGTCTTGAGACTGCTACACATAGAGATTGCAATATTTAGCAGACATAAATGAAAATAGATAAATAATTCTAAACCATGGTTTGGATTCTAACCTATGGTTCAGAGCAAACCACAGCTTGGTATGATAACTGAAATGAAGCCTTTCAACCAAAATTGTGATCCTTCTGGGATCAACTTAAGAATCAATGACACAAACGTGTATACTGTAAGTTATAAATGCTTAGATGCAGATATGCTTTTAAATGAGTAAATGAGTAGGTCTGTGGATCTCATCCACTATTTGCAAATTAATAAAATAATTCATATTTATAATCCTTTCAACTGTATTCAAAAATACTGACCAAAATCCAAAAAGCTATGTGCTTCCCTACCTATTACTTGGATGAATTCAGTATATCCCATATTAATAAAGTCAAGGATTCTGCGGCAATCTTTTCCTCTGCAAGAATGCTTTTGAAATTATACAACAGAACATATGCTGGAACTTAGAAAGCAACCCTAAGCAGGTCTACTTGGGTGTACTCAATGGGAATCCTACTTGAGTCTATTCAATGGCAAAGTGTTCTTGGAATGGCAGTCTCCAAATGGACTTGGACTTTCAGAAAAAAATCTGAGCAGGAAATGGCAGAAAACTAGTGTTTGGTTTGCAAATGTCTTCAGGAAAATCCACATGAGCTATTGTATCCTGATGTAATTTCAAAATTGCTTTCCTGGAAGTTACTGTTATACTGGAACCAGCCCACAGAAGACTGTCAAGTACAACTCCGGAAATAATGGCTATTCTATGTTGTTTATATAATTCAGCATAAACCTTTTAAAATATACTGAGCCTCAAGCTAGGAAACATAAGGGGGGGGGGAGATTAAAACTATACCAGACCTAGCACTGGAGCACCCTGTAGATTTGGTTATTCTTTCTCCCAATATACATCTTGGGCAAAAGTCACTGACAGCAGAGATATACTGACTTATTATTTTTAAAAGGGGACCATCTCCTTTTTTACTTAAACAAGTTTCCTGTCACCAATGTGTACATTTTTGTTTTCCCCTTCCTCTTGAGTCATGTATTCAGAATGGTAGTCAGTAAATCTGGGGTTTTTTTTAGAGATGCAAAGTATAGCCGTCATTCTTAGACAGTATTCCTTAGCTTGAAATGACTGAACTACAGCATGGTGTTGAGGATTTCTAACACTCAGCTGCGAAGACTTGATAATTTTCTTGTGGCTGTATAACATGTCTCATACAAACTATTCACAGATAAAAGCTTTCTGCCATATGGGACCACATGTTTTTAATTCCAACTCTTCCTACCACCACCAGGCAACCACTTTCTCACAAAGGAAAATGTAATGTAAATTGATATTATCCCTCCCCAAATGGATCTTGTTTTTTAGTCTAAAATAAAATTGGTTTGTATACTACTATAAATTCTTATTTCAAACCCCGATCCTCTGAGTAATCTACATTGAGTCCATAGATTTATATTTATGCTTTCACTGATGCTCACTCGTTTTAAGATTGAAGACCTGATCCAAAGGTCATCACAGAAAAAGTAAGAAAAATATAACGTAAATTGATATCACTCCTCCCCAAATGTATCTTGCTAGTTGTCAAAATAAAATTGTTTTGTATCCTACTGTAAACTTTTATATCATTTCCTGATGGTTATGGGCGGGTGAGGGTGGGCTTTTAACATCTATCTGGATTCCTGATACCTCTAATTACTCAGCAAATTTTCCCTAACCCTCCACTGTACCTCCCCATCGACATTTAGTTTTAGCAAAGGTGTCTTGCCACTCCTTGAATATGCCAGGTGGGTTTTCTGTTGACATGCTCCATTTTCCTATAGAACACTTTCATTTCTGAGGAAAACAATAGTTTGCTGCTCTCTTGTTCTTTCTTAAACCCAATTTTGGAATCCTGGTTCATAGGGAAGGTTGTTGCTTGAGTATGAATATGCAAGCTTTATAACTGTTCAGCTACGAAGTTGGGAAAGCAGTACATGAGCCCAAGGGTCCCCAGGCTCAAGCTTTGTACTTTTTTGTGTCACTGTAGCTGGTACTAATAAAAGGTATTACAAAGACAGTAGGTTGTTTTTGGATTTTGATTTGGGACCAGTACAGTGGTAAACAATTATTGTCAATCGAGTCACGGCACAGGATAGTTTGCTATGACATTTTAAGTATGCCTGTAAAAGCAAATCACTCATGTAAGTGATCTTGTTCATGGAATAACAAGTTATGGTTTTGTCTGAAGCATACCTAAACTTTTAAACAATTTCAGTTTATACCTTGGTTGAATTTTTGGGCTCAACACCTTTACAAATTTCACTTAACTTAGAAACTTATGGATAACACCGTTTAAAATATGGGTATTACCTAATATTATTCTCCTAAATTTAACAGAGTGAACAAATGTGCATACAGAAAAGCTACAAATTGTAGACCTTGCTCCACTTTTTTGACTAAGAAAAACCTATAAACATTTGCATACAGACATTGTTTTGACTGAAACTTCCTTTAAATGTGTTTCCTTTCCAACAAGAGTATGTGAAAGGTGACCTCTTATCCATGTGCATGCCTCTGTGACAGTCACATGACTAGGTTTTACGTCAAACTGTCAGTTATGATAAGAGACACAATATGAACACCCTAAGCGTTGATAACCTGTTTCCTGAATCTATTACGTTCTGTTTGAGAGCTGATTTGCAGTGCCCCTCCATTCTTTGCCGTGTTCACTACCCTGACAATTTTAAAATCATAAATTTCGATTGAAGTAACAACATTCCATTTAACATGTCTCTGATATGATTATGACATATGAACAAAACTTCTGTTTTGAATGGAATCATATTAAAACTAATAGATGCAATCAGAAGTACAACTTCCTGCTGTAAAATGACAAAACTGGGTATCAGAATTAAAATGCAATTAAAAAGCCACATTGTGGTTTCCTGGCTTTAAAATATATTTCATATGGTTGTGCTGGTTTAATGGGTTGAATCTGTCCACAAATAAGACTAGGTATATTCATACCTTCAAAGCCCAATATGTAACTAAGTTATTTAACATCAGGGTATTATGAGCT